GGGCGACGCGGCGGGCGGCGAGCGCGAGGAGCTGCTGCTGCTGCAGAGCACGGCCGAGCAGCTGCGCCAGACGGCGCTGCAGCAGGAGGCACGCATCCGCGCTGACCAGGACACCATCCGCGAGCTCACCGGCAAGCTGGGCCGCTGCGAGAGCGGCCTGCCTCGCGGCCTCCAGGACGCCGGGCCCCGGCGCGACACCATGGCCGACGGGCCCTGGGACTCGCCGGCGCTCGTGCTGGAGCTGGAGGACGCCGTGCGCGCGCTCCGGGACCGCATCGACCGCATCGAGGTGAGCGCTACGCGCCCGCGCCGTCGGGGGAACGGGTCTGCAGGGAGGGCTGTGGCCGCGCGGTCCGCGCTGTCCTGGGCTGGGGTCCAGCTGGCCTCGCATCTCCCGTGTCCCGTCAAGGGGCCAGCGCCCCTCCTCGTGGACAAGGCAGGAAGATCCGGGCGCAGACGGACGGCTTGCAGTGTGGTGGTGGCACAGGGGACACGTGAGAAAGGCTCATTCCTGCTCCTTCCTCCTGTCCGGGCGCGTACCAGTGTCTATGTCTGTAAAATGGGTATAACCATGTTAACTGGTCGTGCAACTTCATTCAAGTCGCTTGTTTCGATGGGGAAGCGGTTGGCACGTACTAAGCGCTTAGTAAATGTCATTTTCACTTCTTCTCACACCTCCAAAACAGCGCCAGCTCCACACTTCGTCTCGGGGAGGCCCTGAGGCAGGACACGCTCCCCAGGAGGCTGGGTCCTCCTCTTGTGCGGAGCAGCAGGGCGCAGCGTGCCCATAAGCCAAGCCCAGGTGCCCCCTGTCCCCACAACTCACTCAGACCGCGTGTGGACAGCCGGGCTCAGATGCACTCCACCCCGGCCCTCAGAGCCCACAGCCTGGGACTGGAGGCTGCGTGGAGTGGGAACCCCCTCCCCACCTGCTTCTGCCTCCTGCTACTTCTTGAGGTCCCTGACTGAGGTTTCCGTCCAGCATCTGGAATCTTGCAGGGAGTTCCCCGTGGCTGTTGTGTGGCCTTGTGTTGTTGTTGCTTTGTACCATTGAGTTGGAACCACACATAGCAGACCCTGCAGCAGGTTTTCAGAGGCAGTTGACCACAAAAGAGATTGCCCATCCTTCTTCCCCAGAGCAACTGGTGGATTCGAACCTTGTACCTTTGGGTTGGCAGCACAGGTGCCATCATATGTCCTCTAACCCCCAAGGATCCTTTGAACAGCACATCAAAGCCCTGCCCCGCCCTCACAGTCTATTCTGTGCTCCAGCCCGTAGTTGGTGGTCACAACCCAGCTCCTTGCAGGTCTTTCCCCGACTCTGCTTTTCCAAGCACCATGTCTGTCTCCAGGGACTGGCCCCTCTTGACAACACTGTCAAAGCATGTGTGGTAAAGTCTCACTATCTTTGCCTCCAAGGAGCACGTTGGTTGCATTTCCTCCAAGGCAGACACGTTTGTTCTGTTGGCAGTCCTAGGCAATGACCCAGGGCTAGCAGACTCCCACGCCTTAGAGAGGTGTGGAAGGGCTGCTGCTTCTAGGAGAAGCTGTGTGGGGCCCCTTAGAGGGACAGCCAAACACACTGAGCAAGATGGTTCAGCTGGACAGTCAGACAACAGACTGACACCCCCCCAGACATCTTCCAGACATCCCTCACCCCCCCAAGAAGATGGGTAGCAAAGCTTTGGGAGCTTAACAAATGTACAAAATTGGGTCTATGGAAGGACTGTGGTTGCAGATATCAACACTGCCCTTTCTGGGACCTCCCTCCACACAGTGCAGCCGGCCAAGCACAGGGAGAGAGCAAGTGCAATGTCCACCCCATCACTGGCACAGTCACCGTGGATGCCCATGTGGAAGGCTGGCATCCCCATGGTCACCGTGCCTCCAAGAGTCTGTGTTGGGATCAGTACCCACCAGACAGGGTGACACAGTGGCAGCCAGTTATTTACAGATGGAGAAAAAAACAGGGTTTGGAGAGCCCCCCAAGTTCATGTGTGAGTGAGTAGCAGAGGCAGGAGGCCTCCTGAGAGGCCTGCCTCTAGACCAGCATCCTTCTTCCCCCCACCAGCTCTGTGGGGTTTCTAGAATAAGTGAGCCAAGTGCAGGGAAAAAACCAAAGAAGCCCTGAGGACCACCAGGTAAAGGAGGCCTCAGTTTCTTCGCCTGTAAAATGGGGATCTGCTAGCATGGACCTCCGTGAAGTATTGGAGGTTTAAGTGAGTTCACCTCAGGAAGGGTTCTGCCTGGCACAGCCCATACTCCATCCATTGGAGTGATTCCTATTTTTATCATTAAACTGTAATATTACTAAGATCTTTTATAAAAATACAGTCACAAGTCAAAACAGGAGCAAAGACTCCTTTTAGGAAACAGAGTTGGGTGGGGGGAGGAAGATTGGTTTTCAGTGAACATCCTCCCGGCCTGCCGGAGCCCCGCCCCCACAAGCACAGATGGCACAGGTGGGTCCCCTGGCAGGGCCTGTCCTGGAGCCGTTCCCTGCACACCTGCGGAACTTGGCAGGGTGGGTTCCCCTCTGGCTCACCCGCTGAGATTGGGGGTTCCTGACAGCTGGACTGTGGCACGAGGGCAGCCTTTCCAGATAAGGGAAGCCCCACATTTCCCCATTACACACCCTCCTGCTTTCTGGGTACAGAGGATATGGAGAGAGGGGCAGGGGACCGCTTGGCTACCTGGTCTGCCTTCAGAGCTGGTAGTAGCCAGAGACAGCCTGGGAACTTGGGAGTTCAGGGCTGGCCTCTGGAATTGGACATGGGTCAGATGCCTGGGCCTGGGTGCCTCCTCAAGCCCCTGCTCACCTTCCCCCGTCTCTCCTCTCCAGTATTCCACAGGATGCCTCCTCACCACTAGATCCCTCTCCAGCCAGGGCGCACTCAATATGCTCTCGTTCAGGTCTCCAGGGTGGAGAAACTGGTGGGAGCCTTTCCATCTTAGCCTTGCTGGACCCTCATTAAGACACCTGAGCCCCCAATCACCCCCTCCTTCTCCAAGTTTCCATGCCTTCGTCTTCTCCACTGCCCCGTCCTGTCGCTGTCCCTACCTCTATGGCAATTGTGTCTCAGCTCCTCTCTGGGTCTTGTGACCTTTGTGCCCCTCCTGACAGCCCTCTACTGGCTAGACTTAGCCACACCCCACAGCTTCCAGTACTTCACCCAGAGGCCCTCCAGCCCACACTGTCCTCCCAGGCTCCAGGCCAGTAGGTCTAACTGAGGGCCTGAGCATCCACCAGACCCTCCGGCTTCTCACCAACTTGCTTCTTAGATGTAACCTGGGAGCCATCATTCCCTCCTCCCTCCCTGCCCATCCCTGTCAGCCTCATCTCTCTGTGGGCACTTGCATGAACCTCCTCAAAGATCTCCTGCTTCCAGGGGGCCTTCCATGTGCCTTCCTCCAGGGATCTTCCTTATGGAAGGATCTTTGGTGGGTGATCCTCAGCCTTCCCGCAGCCTGCCATGTGGAACCCAATTCTCCAGGCCCACCTTCCAGTTTTTTCCAACCTCTGCCAAGATCTCTCCCAGTACACCATTGTCCTTCATTTAAGAGTCTGCTTTAAAGACACCTCCTCCTGGAAGCCTTCCATGATCACAGCCTGGCCCCTCCCTTGCTCTCATAACCCTCAGCACACCCCTGCCTCCACCCCAGCATGCACAGCTCTGCACCCTTCCTGCCCTGTGAAGAGGAAGGGCGATTTGGTTGGTGGTCCCCTCACTCCAAGTGTCAAAGCCACATTTGGGGGCTTGGGAAGAAACTGTGCTTGCTTTTCTGGCCTTTTGTTATTATTGTTCACAGAAATGAGTCCAGAGGGGTTTTGGAGGAAAATTGCCTTTAATTCCACCATGTCATCCTTTTTTGAATGGTCCCTGAGTGGTGCAATCACTCTTTACCCCACTGCTCCCCTGAAAACTGATGGTTTGATCTCACTTAGCAAACCTCAGCAGTAAGAACTCCAGGTGAGCTGCTTCTAGAAGCTTCTGGGAACAGTTCCTGCCTGAAAGACACTGGTGGTCACCATGAGTCAGAATGAACTCTGTGACGATGGATTTGGTTAGAGGTTTGTTTTCTGTTTGTGTTATCTGCTCTGTGCAGCCCTGTCCAAGCCCTGATCCATATGCAGACAGTGTCACAACTTGAGCTGCCCTATAATTAACATTTTCGTGTCCCCATCATCCCTAGCATTGATCTCTGGCTCCACCATTCATCCGTCACACAACCTGCCTCCTGTTGATGATGTAGTTTGTTTCTAAATCTCATTCCTCCTGGTTGTCTTCAGAGCATCAGCCCCATGCAGATTGCTGGTTGGCTTTCTTCCTTTCTTTAAGTCTATTGAATTATTCCTCTCGGTAAATTCCCAGGAGTACAATCACTGGGTCAGAGGATATTGACTTTTTGCAGCCGTGGCCAAGAATCACTTTCCAAAAGGACTGGACCGTTTACGTGGCAACAAGCCATGTATGCATGCTCTAGTTTTCCATTTCTGCGCTCGTTTAATTCCTGGGAAATGATCTTCAAGGTTGACGTAAGCAGCAGTGCCTTGACGGAAGCCGCATCTTTAACTCCGCATGTGTCGCTTAGAGAAACTGCTGCCTCTGAGTCTGGAGAGGGGCCGGGGACAAGGGATGTCACGCTGGCGTTCATGTTGATGGAAGACCTTGGGTTCTGGGAAGTGTGACTTCTTCCCTAACAGTTACCAGTGAGCACTTAGCAATCACTTAGCCCTTTCCCGGTGCTTTAGCTCGCTTCATCCTCATCAACACTCTATGAGGGAAGCATCTTTGTATTGCTCTTAAATTGATGAAGAAACTGGAGATCAGAGAGGTTAAGAAGCTGGCCCAAAGTCACACAGCAGTGGAGACTGGGTTTGAACCTGGTGATGTCTGGCTCCCAAGCTCTTTGTTCTAGGCCTGTCCAGAGGGTCCAGACCTCGCTCACCTTGAGAGAAAGGGCAAGACAGGTGAGGGCGCACCTCTTGCTCCCCAGCTGCATGGACCGCGGTGGTCTCAGAATACCTAGAGGGAGTGTTTTGGGGCCTATTTCTCAAAAGCTTGTCCTGATGGCTGGTGAGATAATCAGGAATCTCAACTTGGGATCTTCAATGATAATAGTAACGACGATATTTAACAGATAGGCACTCACTCTGTGTGTGCGTCAGCGGACGTAGCCTGTGCCGTCTCCAGCTCTGTGAAGCAGCCTATGTTCCCATCCTAGAGCCGAGGGAGCAGAGGCCCCAGGAGTGCGAGGCACACCAAACCAGAGGGGCTCTTGACTCCA